CATCCCATCCAGGGGGGAGTAGAAATACTCCTAGTCACTTCATGCTACAGAAACCGGAGTTAAGCACTGGCCTAATGGGCTACTAGGCTCGTAAACAGACTTTACTTTTTTTACTTTGTTAATGCAAATGTATACTAATATTTCCAGGATCAGCAGCAATTCAAAAGGTTTCTATACCTTGAATAACCTTGAATTAACTATTTTCAATTTCTTTTGACCCAACTGATATAAGTTGTGTTTTCAAAGTTAATTTTTCCAGAACAGTACCAAATGGTCTTTTGGTATTTTTCCCTTCATATCCTGTGATGAACAAGTGCTTGGAACACTGGCAAGTAAGTTATGAGTTCAGTTTCAAAGCATATCTTACATATCTGAACTTGACTAAAACATTCTTACAATCACCAAAAAGATTCACTTCCATATTACTTTAGAAGTCAGAGTTACTGTACCAACTCAGTAATTTACATTGATAGCGTTATTAAAAATCCATTGCAGCCAAAAGGCTGGATTACGGACTACAAATGTTTACTTAATACAAAATACAAAAATAATGAAAAACTAAATAAAAAAAAGGCTAAAAATACTATATATGTATATATATTAAAATTCATGAACGAAAAAGCAAAAATACTATTGATATATATATTATACGTAATGAAATTTAAGAAATAGCCGCAATATACTTGATAAAGCAATTAGGAAATAGCCGCGTTGTACATGATAAAACTATTCTTTAGTCTATTTGTTCTGCAAAAAGGTACGATAAAAGCGCGCTTTCTCCTTAAGGCTACGGTACTAAGATTACAGGACAATATTGCACTCTTTAAGAGCCTCTTGGTATCTTAAACCTGGGGAAATTACTCTAAGTGCGCGGCGCTGCATTTTCTCTTAGCTCTTCAGAGATACTTAGGTAGACCATTGTGGAAAACTTGGCAAGCATATTCAGACATGGGCCGGATATACGTAGTATAGAAACTAGCTGCGCAGTATCTCCTTTTGCACGCTTAAGTTGCCTTAACTGATAAAGCCTGGACGCCCCTTTTTTGATAACATCCTCTATGTGAGCGTTCCACTTAAGATTGTTTGAACTTGTGAGACCAAGAAGTTTTACGTTAGTTACAACCTCTATTGCTTTGTTGTTGATAGTAACTGCTTCGAAAGAATCTGCAGATCTTGAAAAACTTATCTGCAACTCTTTACACCTAGTCTCAATCAAATGGAACTTATCTGTCTCGGCTTGCCTAACTAGTTCGTCTACGGCAACTTGGATTCTACTTGGTTGGCCCTTGTAGACTGTATCGGCCATCGATGTGTCATCGACGTACTTCCAAAGGATTTTTGACGCCGTTGGCATTGATGTCATTTATCATGACCAAGAAGAGCCAGGGCCCCAATTTGGTCCCCTGCAGTACACCTGCTCTGACTGATCCCCAATCCGAGTAGCAATCATGGGCGAGCTACACTTGTTGCTTCCTGTCAGTGAGAAAATCCGCAATCCAATCAAACACCCAAGGTGGGAGCTCATAATTCCCAAGCTTGGCCATAAGAATGGCGAGGTCGATAAGATCGAATGCTTTCTTAAAGTCGAAAAGCATCACGCGTACTGTAGAACCGTTACCGTCAGAATCTTTATACCAGTTGTGAAGCATACTGATTAGCGCATGCACAGTGCTGGAGTTCGGGACAGTGCATGCACAGTGCTGGAGTTCGGGACAGTCCCATATTGGTTCCGGTCAATTTTTGCAAGGACGGTAAGCTTGACGTAGCTGTCAACGAAAAACTCTTCCCCAACTTTAGAAAGGAGTGGGTCAAAGAAATGGGCCTCGGGTGTTTGTTAGCATCACTAACAGGTGAAGTCTTCGGGAGGGGTGTAATGTCCGCTTTCTTCCACGAAGTTGTAAGGCGACGCTCCAAAAAAGAAGAATTCAAGATGTCTGCCACTGGTGCAGCCAATAGGTCCGCGTTTTCTTTGAGTACCCAAGAGGGGACTCCATCAGGTCCGGATGCTTTGATCCTGTTAAACGCCGATAGTTGCTTGATGACTGAAAACTCAGGTATAGGACGGGGAGGTTCTTGTTGGTGTACGTACGCGTGCGCGTGTACATCAGGCGTGGCTAGCGCGGTGAATGCCCTCATTGGTGACAAAAAAGCGTCATTGATAACATTGGCCAAATGTTTAGGATCTTACCCCTCATCGGCAAGGTGTTGGAGGTCTGCGGTGGGTCTCACGCGCTCGACCTTAGAAGAGCCACTTAACTGTTTGATTTCCTTCCACCACTAGGCAGGCTTGCAAGCCTTGATATCTTTGACTTTGGCATCTTAGTACTTTGCGCGACGCGCTTTCCGATCTCTGTTCACTTTATTCCGGAGCTGATTGTACTCGGCCAGATTTTTGTTGGTCAGTGCTTTTTGCCGGTCGCGCATAAACGTCCTGGTATTTACAAGGAATCGTAAATTCAAACAGCGCCGTCGTGCGAAAGTCGTCGATTCGTAAGCTCCCTATTCATCCATGGCGCCTCATTCGCTGATACCGACTTTTCTATAAGGGGCATAATTGCGTCGATACCGGAAATAATAGGTTCTTCCATTATCTGCATTTTCTCATCACCTGTATCCTTGTTCTTTACAAGGTCGGTGATGTTAACTTTTTCCAAGTATGAGCTCAGAGCGACCCTGTAACTTTCCCGCTGGGCCCTTGTGATGATGGATCGTTTGAAGGTTGTATTTTGCAGCGAGACAAGGGCTGGAGTTCAACAGATGCGTGGTCTGACAAACTGAAAGCTGGGCGTTTTATTGGCTCCTCGTAGAATTCTTTAATGTTGGTCAAAACGAGGTGTACGGTCTGATTTCCTCGAGTATGGAATTTAACAATTTGTTTTAGCTCTAAAGCGTTCCTATATCTCTAAGTGTCGAACCTGTTAAAAATCCCTTGTGATCAAAACTCCACAGTTCGAAAATCGCGATTCAATTGTAGACATTGAATCGTAGAGATAATGCAGGATCTTAGGATCACAAACGCCTTTGTCTGTCTGTGGATTGTAAACATTTGCGATGATTATACAAGATAATCCCCTAGGGAGGGGCAAGGTCGTAGTTGAAGCCAAATTACTTCAATTTTATCGTCGTATAGATCTTCTAGAACGGTATACCTCAGCCCTTTCCTGATGTAGGTACAAACGCCTCCATGTATTACGCCTGTCCTGTCTCCTCATTAAGTTATACACAGGAATACTGACGACATTGTCGTGAATGTGGTCGCGCAACCAGGTCTTTGTTATGCAGGCAATGTCTAAATTTGCATTTGTAATAGCAACAGAGACTTCATCCAGTTTGGGGGCCAAAGACATTACGTAATTTTTACAGTCACTATCTTCCAGATGATTCTTTTGTCTTTCTCAGAACTCTGGAACATGGTCAAGATTAGAACAACACAAACCTCTATTTGCGGAGCCCAAAGGAAAAGGAGATTTTGCTGAGGTTTGTGGGAAATCAAGTTTTCTTCTAGATTTTACATGTTTTAAACCTTTGCAAAACAACAGCATTCCGTTAGATATTTATTTTTTTTCTAATTGTACGATTTATTATATATTAATACATTATTTATGGTCACTTTTGTGTATTTGTATTTTAAAGACCATGGAGAGGTTCTATGAAAAAATTAACGATCCGAGTTGCAATGCGGCAACTTTCTTCGCTGTTTGTCGTGGAAAGGTACAGATCCAAATGATTGTCTTTTTCAGTAGAATATCTACTGGGAATCTGCTGATGTATGTTAGTTACATTGTGAAATTTTTGAGAATTAAAATGCTCTGTTTCATCTGGTTGGTTAGATAACTCCTGGAGTATCATCAATCTCATCTTGGCTAATGTGTTTTAAAACTGTTTCAGGTCAGCGAGGGACTGGACTTTGCTGACATGAACGGTCGAGCTGAAGTAATAACTGGTCTGCCTTTCCCGCCAAAAATGGACGCTAAGGTACATTGCAAGAGCTCGACGCTTTTTCACATAATTGATCAAGGTGCACATTCTCCACAAGGAATCGCACCCCAGCCTTTCGGATTTCACTCTCCAGCAAACCTATAAGGAGAATATCAAGACTTGTCATTTAGAGTTCGTCACCTTCATACTATGACACAAAACACTTAACTAAGACAAAAGGGAATTTTTTAACGAATCAGATCTTGTAAGTTTAGTTATTTGGCCCTGAATAATTTTGTGTTAATATGATCTTCAGGTTCGCTTAAAGATGAATTTCCTGGATGAAAGTCTTCAGAAAGCAAAAAGTTTTTCATCCAAGGTATTTAGCGAATACTGGTTTCTATTCCTCCGTTTTTTGTCACAACTTTTAAAATTAAGGAATCATTTTTATTTTGGTTTATCGCAAAGGGTCTAAGCGGTCGACAGTGGTATCGTCAGCAGGCTTCCAGGGCTGTCAATCAGGCTGTGGGTCGCGTCATACGTCACAAGCAGGATTTTGGCGCCATTTTATTATGTGATGTTCGGTTCACTTACCCGGATGCAGTTCAACAGTTACCAAGTTGGATGAAACCTTACGTCAAGGTTTATAAAGACTTTGGTTCAGTTCAGAGAGATCTGATTCATTTCTTCCGCACTGCTGATAAAATGGTGCGATTTTTCAATTGTAATCTTGTCAAGCAATCATTTACGTACAACTGACATCTCTTGCTCTTGTTTTTGTATGTCGTTTGAGGGAGAAAGAGGATACTTTCGTCTATACGAGGGAACGAGGAAGAATATAGAAATTTTCAATATTTCTAATAGTTTGTTCGTAGAAGTAGACATCTATATTTATACAGGATAGCCCCTTCAGTGTAGTTAACACTGGTATCAACGGGGGTCCTGTTACCCACCCATCCCATCCCATCCCAGGGGAGGACATCTATCACACAGTAATCTCGTGCATGGGAAATTAACGTCTCCTGCCCCTAACCCTGCAGGAGACGGGACCTCCATTTATTCGTCCCTATCAGAGAAGACTAGAATATCTAATCATTTCTTGATGTTATAGAAAGGTAGCATATTCTTCTCAATTATTTTAAGACCCTGAGTGTTGGTCTGGCCGGGGCTCGAACCCTCGACCTCCCGCACAATAGTCCAGCGCTCTATCCATTGAGCTAACCGTGAGGGAGATGTTATTTTGTTTTCGTTGTTTTTTCCTTATTTCATCCATTTTCTGTTTCCCTCGTCTACATTTTTATTGTGGTCGTTCACCCACAAGTCGTTTCGTTAACGACCAGTTTGCTAACAAGTGAGGTCGTTCCGGCATCTCCTCGGGTTAGTTAGCAAACTTCTCATAGGTTGCTTCGTTTTACGTCTTTGTAGTTTTGTTTCTTCGAAGTGGCCGTTATTGCACTTTGGTTTATTGCACCGTAGACAAATGTAAACCTTCAAATTTATCCTTTACTTTGTAACGAACTGATTTAAGTTTTATCAAATTGACTTTCTGCGTTTATCGAATCGACCATGTTGATATATCGAATCGACTTCAGTTTATCTCGAATCGACTTAGATTGATACGACCCCACTCCACTATGACTTTTCAGCCGATTAGAAGTCGATCAAGTTCTGCAGATGGAATCACTAAACTTTTTGTTATATGTTAGAGAAACGGCTTACGAGACGCTGGCGAACTGAACCAAGACACTGGTGGCGAAAGGGCCTAAAACGTTAGCGAACCGGTCGTTAGCGAAAGGAGTCGTAGGCGAAACGAGCGGTTAACCCTACATTTAGTTGGCTGGCTTTTATCAAATTTGCCTCATAACACGCCCCCCTTATTTTTATCTGCCGTTTCACCCCGTTTTAGGTCGACAAGTCCTCAATGAAGGTCAAATCATTTAAAAATAACTCTAGCCGGGCTGAAAATCCGTCTGCAAAAACAATATCTGGGGAAAACCTGTCCCATATGTCAATAGAAGAAACGGAACTTCAGAAAAATAAAAGAAAAGAAACCGGGAATGAAGTGAAAACACAGGCAGCAAGAGAAGGTGTGAATAAGTTACATCGCTTCAGTAAGAATAGTAATTTGTCTCTATCCTTTCTCGAGTGAGGCTTTAAAAATTTTTGTTTACTTTCCCCCCCTTCGCCTACCCCTACCCCTCCCCCTCCCCTTCCTCTGTCTGTTTATATATCATCACCCAACTATGTATCTATATTTCCTCCATCTGTCTATCTATCTATCTATCTATCTCTATATCTTTCATATCTCTCTATGTACTACTGCGCTGCAACAACGGATCTCATAACTCATCCCTCTTGATAATTTGTTTGTCTTCTTTCAGCCCCTGTGTCTTCCCTTCGTCTTAAGTATGTATACAAGTCATCTGGAGTGAAAGACATGGCAAACACAGCAAAGCCAGCAAGTTTGATCGAATCCTTAACAAATTCGGAGGTAATAATGTTCCACATATACAATTTTATAATATTGGCCATGTTTGCTAACCTATTTTGTTATTTTCCTTGCTGATATGAGAAAGAGATCGTCCCAGAGTTCAATTCTGTCCTTGAAGAATGAATTCATGTGTAGATCTAACACAGTTCTTAAAGTCCCAGTGTTTATCCAAGCTTCAGGAATCGTGCTTGTTAAAATTTTGTTGTTAATCCATTTCAGGCTGCCTCGAATACTGAGTTGCCTAAAGAATCACAAGAGCTAAAGGTGAGACATAAATGGTGCTCTGTACTGGATAATACACGTCAAATTGAAACGTTAATAAACCCTGCCTTGATGAGGCGAGCTGTTTCCTCGCAGTTGGTGTCCATCTGCTGTGAAAAGTTTTTTTTCTTTCTCATTTTCAGGAGAGAAGCCTGTCAGAAGCCATCATGAAGAGAAAGGAATCAAATAGAAGAACTCAGCCTAGGAAAGTTTTGAAGGTTATAGCATAGTAGATTTTTAATTTGTTTATTCACTAGTATATAATAATAGTTCTAAGTTACCGTAGCCTCGTTATCATAGTTCACTAAAGTAAACGAATGAACGTATGGAGCTAAGAGCAAATGAAAGATATTGTATAGATTCCTGAACTTTTTATAGCACACTTTGTCCACTGGTAACATAGTTTTTAACAAAGCCTCTAAAATTTTTTGGTCAATCTAGTTGCTTAAATTCCTGCCTGGCAGTGAGGTCAATACACTACACACCAAACCATTGAGCCACTGTCAGAACAAATGTTTCAGAACATTTTTTTTCTAACTTCATGCTGTTTTTCCTTTCTTTAGGTGGTCAAGGTTAAAGAAGAAGAAAAGCCAAGATCGGTCAGTTGTATTTCATTCCTTACGTGGTATTTCAGCCTTCTTTCATTTCTTACATTGTCTGTACACTTGTTATTGGATTGCAAAGCCTCTACTATTGTCTCAGATTCCTGATAACAAGTGAGAACTAGCCTAGGCACGCTCCCGATCAGTTTCAACTGCGATGATCAGGCAGCCGTCTTTCTGACAACCGCCATTTTTCGATTGTCTTCTCGGCTTTCGTTCGTCTTCATTGACTCAGAGCCTGGGACAGACTTAGATTTATCGAGGGACTAAGACGATGAAAATGGACATCAGCTGAGGCTGTTTCTCCGCAACTTCGATTTTAGTCGAGGGAACTTCACAGGCCATCAATTGTGCACTGCGATTTAGTAGCGGGACGTGCCTTGCTGTCGTATTACATTTTCGGTCATATTTCCTACTTTCCAGTCCATTTTTCTTACTTCTCTGCTCCCCTCCCTCCCTTTCCCCTCCCCTCCCTCCCTTTCCCCCTCCTTTTTCTTTTTACTTCTCCCCCTCCCCTCCCTTCCCTTTCCCCTCTATTTTCTTTTTACTTCTCCCCTTTCCTCCTCCTTTTTCTTTTTACTTCTCCCCCTCCCTTCCCTTTCCCCCTCTTTTTTTCTTTGCACTTCTCCCCCTCCCTTCCCTTCCCCCTCTTTTTTCTTTTTACTTCTCCCCCCTCCCCTCCCCTTTCCCCTCCTTTTTCTTTTTACTTCTCACCCCTCCCCTCCCTTCCCTTTCCTCCTTCTTTTTCTATTTACTTCTCTGTGTAAGATTTTAGGGTCGTCTTTCCTTTTTCAGAGTGCAGATCAACAGAAATTATTACACAACAAGGCTCAAAAGCTTACTGAAGCTAAGATGTATATAAGATAGGTAAATAAAAGGTACTATTTTGATCGTGCACAAATTAAGGTTGCATCTGTTTCTTGGTGTGTCCAATCACAAGTACCTGTGTCCAGCACAGTGTTTCAAACGGAACAAGTTTCTCATACTGTTTGGTCATCAGTTTGCACTTTTTCGTGGCGCGGTGATTTAGGAAACAGATAGGGTTTTGGCCGAGTGTGCAGTATGACTCCATAACTCTAATCTTTGCTGTGGACAGTAAGTTGCATTTAAACCTGTTCTTTTTCTTTTCAAACGTACAAATTAATGGGTCTGGTTTTGGTATTGAGGTAAAACAAGCGCTCAGTGATGGACAGTACAGAGTATTCTCCCATGTTTTGAGCAAATACAAACAGGTTCGTAGAAATATCCAAAAGTTTGTCTTTTTCCTTCCTTGTTGGCTTTAAAGAGGAAACAATTTGTTCTTTTCCTTTTTCGGCATGGGATGGTATTTTATTGAACCACTGGTTTCTTATTCAGAGCCTCGACTTGGACTCCTTGATTGAAGGACTCACGCCGCTGTTCACCGCAAATGAAACACACTATCCGCTTATGCACGGTTAGTAGCCTGGTGGCTAGTTTTAAGACCGTAATTGTTCTCAGAGTCTTTTTGGTTGGTAATGTTAGAGGCTCGAACACCTTTACAGTGTCATGACAACGTCGAGTACTGTGTCTATGTTAGGTTTTTCAAGTTTTATCCGGGATCCAGTGGACAAGGTGCGATTCTTTGAAGCGTATTGCGACATCACAGGCTCAGGTAAGACGGTGTCACGGCCTATAATCTCCTTATCAAATACTTCATCCAGAGCATACTCACCATACTGATTACATATGTAACTACATCGAAATACTTTATCTGTAACGCACACTGACTTTATACAATCTGCAAAACAATCTACAATGTGTACAGTATATACAGTTATATGCGTTATCTGCTTTAGATACAACCATTTACACTGTCTGCAGAAGATACACCTATCTACTCTGTCTGCATTGGGTGCAGATATTTTCTCTGTCTACAGTAGACGCAGTTCCCTTCACTGTCTGCAGAAGATACATCTATCTACTCTGTCTGCATTGGGTGCAGATATTTTCTCTGTCTACGGTAGACGCAGTTCCCTTCACTGTCTGCAGAAGATACATCTATCTACTCTGTCTGCATTGGGTGCAGATATTTTCTCTGTCTACAGTAGACGCAGTTCCCTTCACTGTCTGCAGAAGATACATCTATCTACTCTGTCTGCATTGGGTGCAGATATTTTCTCTGTCTACAGTAGACGCAGTTCCCTTCACTGTCTGCAGTAGATACTGCTATCTGCACCACATGAAGTAGATACCGATACACGGAGTGTAGATGGCTTTTTTCTACTGTTGACAGTGCAATTAGCTCTATCTAATGTAGACCTTGTAGGTAGTATTACCCACTGTAGATAACTGTGTCTACTGTAGACAGTGCAGTTGGCTCTATCTGATGTAGACATTCTAGGTAACTTTGTCTGCACTGGATAGTGTGGACAATTTCATTGCACAGTGTATGGCTAAGAGGTTCCTGTTTTCCAGATACGTAATGTAGAACCTCATTTTGCGTCTCCCTTCTAGATGTGCCTTCACATTTTACTGCTGGTCTTAACGTTAAAAAGGAAGACGATTCGCGACCAGTAAACGGTATGTTTATCTGGGCCTACACGATCTAGAGTTTCATACAGGCTTTATCCGCTTTGTTTTGTCAAATAAACTTCCTCTCCTGCTTGAACACAAAAATCATGAGCTTAATACATCATTATCTTGATATGGAAGATTTTTTGCGGATTTGGTAAGATCTAGAAGTTTGTTTCATTTTTAGATCATTGTAGAGTTGGTGAAAAGAGGAAACCAGAGGAAAATAATCAGGCACTTGCCAATGAGCAAAACAGAAAAATAACGAAAGTACAGAGCAGTTCAGACAAGGTAAGGGTTTCTGACGATGTAGTTCACCTGATGCCTGGCTCCTTCCTGCACTTTTGCTTGTTCTCCTTAGCCAGTTTACTTGGATCAATCTTTTTAAGCCGGGAGATCTGCAGATGTCGTTGAGGGCTAAAAACCTGATAAACTGTATTATCTGTATTTAACTCAACTATTAGCTAAGGTTGAGCCAAGCCGCAGTAGCCGTCGGGGAGCTTTTTACGGAATGGGAAAATTCAGTTCAGTGAGTGATTATTCACGATTGCCGTCTGAGATATTGAGTAAACCATGGTGTGTCTTTGAAAAAACAACGATCACCTCGTTATATCTACTTGAAAGTTAATAATTTTGCTAATTCTCATCTTTCTGAAGGTTTTCAAACCTGAATATGCTTCAAGTGTGTCTGGGACCAGCTCAAGTCTTCTTGACTTCACTAAACATCTAAATGGAGGAGGCTTGTTGTAAATCTAATTTCGACTAGTTCCTTATTGAATGTGAAGTATCTTTTGTGAATTGTGCAAAACTAGATTACTGAAATTATGAAATAATAGCCATAAATATTTTGTTAAATTTTCCAACTCGGAAAAAAATGTTTTCATAAAGAAAATTCATATGTAATCTTTGGTTCTTTCTATTTGTGTTTCTCGGCGTTCTTGCGTGAATTCATTAACTGATTCGATTAACAAATCTTAATTAGTTTAATTGGATTATAGGACATTTCTCTTATCCACATCATGGATGGAACCTCTAACTGTGCGTTTTGACACAAATTAATAGTTGTTAGAGTGGCAGCTGCTTAACGCTTTTCTTCGGTTAAAGCTCAATACTTCAATTCTCAAAACTGATCCCCATAACTTCGCTTTCACTTCGGTGGTGGGAATTTACTTATTAAGTGGAGACATTACCTTCATAATTCCCTTATTTATGGTTTCCTTTGGTTCTCATCACCTTTTCGTTTGACAGAAGGGAAGGGTTGGACAGAATGGATGAATTCCAATGTGAAAAATTGAAGAGATGTTCTGAAAGTTTGACGACACATGAAAGTTTAAGAAGTTTATATCAATTTGTTTTCCTGAGGGTTACACCTACGTGCAGCGATTCGACTGATGTGTTACAAATCAGATAATTGTTTGGGCGCAGTAAAGGTAACGCTAGAAGACTTAAGGTGCGCGCAATTTGTCGATTTGTCTCCACCCTTATCTATTCACTCATTTCATTCTAGAGAAATACGAATTAAAATTAACGTGGTTTTCGTCATGGTCAGATATGGTACTTTCCAAATATTACTTAAAATGGATTTAACGCCGAATATGCATCTTCAAGAGGCAAACATAGCGATTGGCGTTTAGCTTACCATTATTAGACTATTTTAAGCAAGAGGTCTGATACCTTCAATTTAACAGTGATGAAGTATCATAACCATTATCAAACGGATATGAACACAGTAGCTCTCCTGAAGGCGACAGGAGGGAGCCCAGCGTGGCTGAGTTTCAATTGCGGAGTTTATAGGATTATCCTTTCTCTCACGTCTGTTCTTCACCCGGCCCCCGGTCGCAGGCGACTCACACACAAACGATTTTCTGCACGAAACCAATTTCGGTTATTCTGCATTTGAGCGTCACCTTTAGTGCCACGATCCGCAAACTTTGGATTTCGTTTTCAAAGGAAATTTAGCAAATTCTCGCCTCGATTAGCCTTCAAAGCTATTTCGTGACCGAGTTTCACCACAATGGCTGAAATGAAATCTGTCATTTTTGTAGGTTTAATTACAGTACTTACGGAAGCTTTCATCACAGTTACTTGACACCACTTTAACATCTCTACTTTTTTATGCTTGCTTCAAAAACAATCAATTCTTTTTTAAAAGAGTATTTTCGTCTCTGTGCGGTTCCGGTCGGTCGCGTGTTTCGAAATTTTCACTGTTATTTTGTCTGATGTATGTACAAAAGTGGAGAGTTCTGAAAAAAAAAATATATATATATATATGTAAATCAGTTTGAATTATTACTAAACGATGCCATCTCTATTTATTTCATGACAATGGGGAAGAAATGAAAAATGTGTCTTCATTTTATGCACTTTTTTATCACTCAGTCTCTTTAAAATTTTCACACGATTAAAAAAAAACATTCTTTGAAATAAAATTAATATAAGCGTCCATAACAAATTCGATTTGTCAGAAATTACTGAAAAAGGTTTAACTTTTGTTTTATATCACAATAACGGATAAGTCAAAGTATATTTAAAGTTGAGTTAAATAATTTCTTAGTTGATTATTTGTGTGATTTCTTAGAAAAGCATTTTAAAAATAAGATTTCCACCGATTGGAACTATAGGTTTTATCGTACTTTTTTTTAACTATCTCTTATTTTTCTGTTATCAGTACTAATTGAGTACGAAAAAGCATTTGCTAAACGTTGTGATTGGTGAAACACCTGCTGCGTAGAACATGAGGTAATAGATAAAATTTACAAGAAGGGAACTTATTACGGCATCTGATGAAATTCGTGATGGAATTTCCACGAGGTTTAGGGTAACACCAAAACCAAGCAGTAGGTATGACCTGGGAAGGTATTCGTGGGCCTACTTCCTTACATCTGTTGATCGACTTAACCACAAGGTAAACTATATTTAACAGTTCGCTATTGTAGTTTAGTTGACTAACGTTGAATAATAAAGCATTAGTTTGTTTGTTTTTATTCGTGGGATCGTGTGGAGAAAGTAAACCGGCCGGACCCGCGCAAATTTGTGGGAGCGAGCTTCTGTTCAACTTGATCAAGAGACGGAGTTGAGGTAGAAAAGAGAGTGCTGAGACCGGAGATATGAAAACAGAGGACGGACAGCGATCTGTATGAAGTCAAATACCTTTGAGTATTAAGCAAATAGGCGAAAGAAGTACATCAGTCATAAAGATCGTAATCTCGAAAGAACCCCAAGTTAGGAAGCGAAAAGTAACTTTTTGAAGAAGCTTATATATTAAGCAAGAAACTATTTGGGACAAAATTTGGGTTGACGCAAAACTCCGAACGTAAGTAAATTGATCCCAAGTACGTCAGAAGCGATTGATTATGACAAACTTAATCTTGAAATGGGAGACGTGGAAGTGGACTGTCCATAATGACGAGAAACGATAATTTCATAAGTCATAGTCACTTTTCAATTGGTCACAAGGCTGGCCAAAATGAAATCAATTCAGAATTTTCGGTTACCAACGACACCATGGTAATCATGGCTGACAGAGAAACGCCTCTAGTCTCCGCAGATTTTTAGAGGCGTCCTTCGATAAACAGATTTGCCTACTACTACTGTGAACTATTTTAATGCCCTTTGAAATTTTTTATGTTTACTGTAACAATAAAACAAACAAAACTAAAATAGCTATCGGGCGATGATAGTTTATTAGTTCAATAAATACAATACAGTATTATAAACTCTTTGACATTTTCCGTGACGCGCTGTCAATTGCTGCTTAAAACAATAAGCTTCTGTCTCCAAATAACATTTATGTAAATTGTTTGTGAAATATACTCCACGAAGTCCAACTGTGATGGCTTGAGCGCGATTATAGCTGACAGTGATGTTCCGTCATTCATAAGCGACATAAACTAACCAGTCTTTATAATATTACTCTCCCACAAGAAGGCAGAAATTAAGTCAAGTTGGTAACAAACAGTCTTAAATCTCTTGAATAAGTCGAAATGAGGGCGCAAAACCTTTACATAAATTGAGGAATTCCATCTCGAATTCGATCAACAGGAGCCCCATGCTGAATCAACAAGGCAGCAGCTTCAAAATTCCCAGCCATAACTGCTATCTCCAATGGTGTAAGTCCGTCAGGAGTTTCGCTTGTAAGCTGTAATCCAAGTCCTATTAAGCTTTCGGCATATTTTGTAAGTCCACGGGCGACTGCCTCATGTAAAGGAAATAGTCCCAACTTAGGCAACGCGTCCAATGAGATTTTCCCGTTCTGAATTTCACAAATAATATCGTCCATTTCAATGTAGATGTCTTCTACAATCATGCCATATCGGCGACTTTCACAGTTTCGACTGTTCGTGTTGTTTTCACGACGATTTTCCTCTTGTTCACCAACAGAACTTTTCTTTTTTTCTTGTTTTGAAGAAACATTGCTATTGGAAGCAGTATCTGACATGTTCTCCCCGTTTCTATTTCTTCTTCGTCTTCTTTTCGCAAGTTCGTGGCCATCTTTTCCTCCAGTATTTGCTCTCATTATAGTGTTCTGGCTGTGTTCTCGCTGTGTTCTTCTTTTAGAACTCTTCCCTTCGACTAAATTGAGCGTTGGGTTGGCACGCTGCCTCCTTTTATAAGTCGTACAAAGGTTACCAATGTAAACCGAGATGACGTTTGTTTCCGAATTAAGAGGGTTTAACTCTAACCCTTCTTAGCCTTTATCTAATTTGAACCTGTTTACAGACTTAAAAGAAAAACAAGACATCCACCGAAAAAATAACGTCGCTTGCACGCAAACTTGTTGACGTGAAAAGTGATCGAAAGTTTGAAATTGTTCTCATATAAACCGTCCAAGTGTCTCAAACGGAAGCTGATCTCAGCCCACGGATTTCTCTGGCTTAGCATTTCCACTATAGCCTTGGTTTATCACGCAATTTGAAGTTAACAGCTCGCTACTTTCCTATATTAGGTCTGCTGCTTCCGATACTATAAATTTCAGAAGATCACAATAAATTAACCTTTTCATTCTTCAAGGTCCTTTAGGTTTGATCGTTTAGAAAGAAGACTTAAGTCCACGGTAGAATATTGCGGGTTTTGGAGTTTTACTTTGCATATTTCATTTTTGAAAATTTAAAAAAGGAACATTCATTTGTAAATGGTATCTGCGTGGGAGCGAAAAAGGATTTACGAGTATTAGAGAGCACGATTTCATACAAATTGACTTAAAATTAATTTGTATATTTAATCCGCTACTTCTTCCAATTTCCTCTCCACTGGGCACAGCTTCCCGTGCATGTACATGTGAATATTTAAAAAACCTTAATTTAGAATACTTTTAAAATATTTCCCTTTGTTATGTATTCACTCAAAAATCGAACTCACGCGATTTTCTTACACAAGAGATACCTGTCTACAGAGTGATGTTTCCTTTTTAAAACAACAATTATAGTGAGATTTGTTACTTAATATTTTTTTTCAATTTAAGAATGTCTGTGCGGGATAATTTGAACGTGATGTAATTGTAGTCGAGGAAGGCATTTTAAGCTCGAGAAGGCTCCAATCAGCTTATCCCTACAAGCCGCCACAAAAGCCAGCAGGCAAGTCAGTGCTTACTTGTCAATCTTACAAAAGGTCAGGCGCTGAAAGAAAACGTCGCTTTGATGGCACTCGCCCAGTCGGCTAAAACTGGTCCCCTTCCTGACAAACTAAGACGTATAAAAGAAATTCTTGATTCATTATCTTCATTCCTTTCTGTCTGTTACTTCTATAAGAACAGAAGTCTTTTAAAGACTTTAAAACAGTTCTAATGGCGAGTAATGAATGACTTCGTCCGAACAAGAGCCAACGGGTGGATTTGAGAGGTTGCAATTAAAGAAATAAACAGGAACAGCTGAAAGCTTAGAAGGTTCGTTCGGCAAACTCTAAACCACAAAACTGTTATTTTTCCTCCACAAAACTGCCGGCACGCTTTGTGGGAGCGAAAATGCTGCTGGGCCATACTTTTATGTGGATTAGAGTAACCGTTATGTAACTGATCCTTAATGAACTTTCTTTCTCCAATATCCGAAAAAAAAAAATTGGGTTTTGTAAGTTTTTTTTAATGGTAAAGTGGGGTATGTTAAGGTCAGTAAAGGGCCCTTAATTATGCGGGGCACGCTTCATATATTTTTAGCCGAAGTATTCTCGCTAGCGTCTGTATTGGTCAGTGATCAGTTACCATTGGTGTTTGCAGTCAATCAGCAGCCCATCAACATCTGATTGATAACTTTCAACGATCACGTAGTTGGTATGCATTTATCGCTTCACCCAACTTAGTCGGGGTCAAAAGGAATGAAGAAAAATGTCCATGAATTCACAATCTTCCAGTTTTCCGATTTCAAAGTCATTTTTGCTGCTCTTTTGATTATTTGGAGGAAAACCATTCCCTGAGTGACGCAGTCACTAAAAACTTTAGTCAGTGTCAAATGAGCAACAATAATCAGCTTTCCAAGTCTTCCAAACATTCAACACTAAATTCCCTGAGTTTGTGTGAATTTTCGCCAACGTTTCCTCTTGAGCAAGTGTTGAGCAAGAGCTAAGCGCTCCGACAATACTAAGTCTGAAATTTTCGAGACAGGTGAAACAAAAAAACAAACAAACCCCTTTCTAACGGATTTCTTAATGCTTTATATGGCTATTCTAATCCTCTGTAGCAACTTAAAGATTACATTTCACTGAATTTTGAAAGAATCACAGTACAATCCATTGCCTTCGAGAGAGCTTAGGAACAGATACTTGAGTAAATTGGCGATTAGAATTGGGAACTATCGTATCGTGAAGAACACCCTGAACTTCAACTAATCCAGGAAGAAACGGTTTGGAATTTCCTGATTATAATTTGATTTACTCGCTCCAAAGGGATACACCTGGAGAGAACTGTTGGAAAATCGTAAGGCAAGTCACGAATAAGGTCATAACAAGAAAATTGTTTCCAGACCTTATCCGCAAAGACAGGGAATGTGTCTTTCCCTAAAGAATGAGATTAGTAGGTGAGGCAGACAAGTGTTCAAAGAACAATTCGTTCAAGAGAAGAAACGGAATTCTTTCACTACGCAGATTCATTTCTTTCTTCCTTTGACCTCGTTCGGTGCAGAACAGAAAGCGAATGTGCACTTGCACGTGCACACAGGTTTCCAGGAGCCAGCTTACACGTGTTAAACAAGATGTTAAATCTATGGGAGAAGCGTGTAATGTGATTTGTCAGGTGCCCATCCTCAGGCTGACATTTGAGCATGCGCATTATTGTACAGAATGGTTATGTAAAAAATGGGCGAACCTTTAAAAGTATTTGTAACAAATCTGTTACGAATTTCGTTTGGCTGTCATCAAGTGAATATGGAGACAGTAAAAGACCTTTGCGTAGCTTACATTCACCCATGTAAAGATTGCTGTTCCAACATGTTTCTAACCCGTCGTTGCCTGTGCGTGGCCGTATGAATTTCCACGGCCGTTCTCTCTCGACAGTGGTTCCTTTTTTCTACACTTCCTCGTGACTAGAAACACGTTTGTGAGGGGAATTAAATGGTGATCGGAAATAAACATTAGTGATTGAAATCTCGATGTTGATCTTAGATCTCCTAAGAATGAACCAAGTTGCTTTCCAGACGGTACCGCAAGAGAGTAGACCCTAGGGGTGAGCTAATAGTATTACCTAATATAAACATTCTTTTTTTTTTTTTGTTAAAAAAAAATGTTCATAACACCCAAATAATCAGTTGCTTATCAAATGCTTCTTTGGAGACAAGAGTTTATGCATATATTCCGGATAAGGATTATGGTTAAAAGACGAATCAACGGAAAACAAAAAGGCCGAGATGTTCGAACCTTTCTTTTTCAGTGCTTTGGACCAAGTACTGGAGAATGTGTAAAATGAGGTGATTCACTACGCAGGAAAAAAAAAAAAAAAAGAAACCTTACGTGACTAGGATTAAGTTGCCGCGCATCAGTGAGGTTAGAACCGTGAGAAAGTAGCTCCTGAAAAAAAAACCTCATCAGAAGTCGGCTCCTTAATACCTCGGAAGTATTAAGGATTGGGGCTTAGAAGCTTACTGAATATTAACTCTGTTGTGGTTGATAAAGTTCTATTTACTTAAAGACTCTTAGATCACAAAAGAAACAAAGAAGGTAGTGACGGAAACACCTTATTTCCGGCAATATTGATTGCCCTACCTCATTGACTAATTTTATTTGCATAGATTTATATTTGAGTGTATTTGCTGTGCTACAAATGTGTAGCATAGCACTTCTTACATCAGAGATAGATACGAACAGATCCCCAACATATCTGCATTGATTACATACCACATTGATTGCAGCGAAGTTTCATTGCAATGCAGGTTTCATTCGTGATCAGTTGTTTACTTGTTAATCTTTACTTGTTAATTAGTCTCTTACTTCGGCTGAATTCTTTCACTTGAATCTGGGGAAAAAGGATTTTGTGTTTGCATGATGCCGCCGGCATAGCATGTCCAGCATAGCTGAGTTCGTCTCTTTTATTTCTTTTTTTTTTTTTCCATCATCGTTTTATTCTTTTGATTCCTTTATATTGGGTTTGTGTTTCCTCATTAGAAAGTTCAAATATTTCCACGAAGAGTGAAGTGACACTAGATAAACCTGATTGAATAACTTTGTCCTAAAGGTGGAAATTAGTCGTCTAAACTTGTCTTTTTTCTTTTTTCGTTATTTGATGAAATCTTTAAAGAGTTCTGAAATTAGTCATTATAAGTTTTGTTGTGGTTCCTTATTATTAGAAGTGTGTGTCACAGACGTTTATTTAATTAATCACATATCCTTTGCTCTCTGCCATGGCAGCAGAGACAGTTACACCGATCTGACTCAGTAAGCAATTTTGGGTACAAAGCATTGAAAGTAATCATCTGCGCGAGGAAAACCTCGCAAATGCTATGATTCGATTAAAGCACACTCCAAAAGGCATCAGTGTACAATACTTAGCGGTACGCCATGGATGAAGTTGATTTATGATCTATTAACTTCGCCAAACAACAACAATCAAAACAAATAGATTAAAGAAAATGACAAAAAATGGCACGGACACCGCAACAGCCCAGCCAATTACAGCGGGCTCAGTTCAAGTGAAAGACACTCGCCTGCGATGAGGGATTTACCTGTAGCTTTTCCATGCGACTGATTTAAAAAGGAAATTCAGTTTTACTGGTATAGTTATTTTACTAAATCACAATTCATTGGCTTAACCAATTTCTACTTGGCCCATTTCCGTTTCTCACTTCTGCGGTTATGAAAACGTTATTACAGTTTAATCTAAAATTCATCATCCACGCTTTTAATATTATCCTGTCTCGGTGTAGAGACGGAACCTGACCTAATTAATATTCGATTGTTGACGTTAGAATACGCTTCCTTCGTACTGATCATCGATATAAACTTGAAGAAAGTGAAATGTTCAGACCGATTTTGCCAATGATCATCTGTCAGGATTGTAAGAGTATTTAAATACTGTAAAAATGCGCCTGCTATCAACACATGGTCCGTTAGCTCAGTCGGCAGAGCGCGGTGCTGATACACCTGGATCTACGAATCCAACTGCTACGCCGAGGTCGAGAGTTCGAGCCTCTCACGGACCAGTGATAAATTTTTTTTAATCACCTTTTTTCTTTCCCAGTTGTTTGCCTTCCTTCCTAAACTAATTTTTTTTTCTTCTTCTTTTAAATCCCTTCTTGAGCTTACATGAAAAAACTTGAAGAACGTAATCGGCCCGAGGCTCAACATACCCATTTTCGATTTATTCAGTATCTAGGTTTTTATTAATTGATAATTTTAATTAGTGCAGGTCCACATCAGGACTTATGTCTTGTCTACCCCTCACCTGCTTTATTAAATTCACTATGAGATGCAATGAATATATGACGTTCATATATTTAGAACTGCGGTATTAGATACGTATGATGTGCGATCCTCGCAGTAGATAGCGCTATCTATGATTTTCAAACAACAAACATATGAAATACATATATATGAACTGCGGTTATGAAACGTATATGTGCACGATCCTTCGCAGTAAAGCACTATTTAAGCAATAGTGAAAATCAGACCTGAAAAAAATTCAGGCCTGTACGGGATTCGAACCACTGACCTCTGCGATACTAGTGCAGCGCTCTACCAATTGAGCTAACAAGCCAACTGGGAGCAGGCCATCAAATTAATTCGACATAAACCCGTAGATGATAAATCAAACAACAAACATATGAAATACATATATATGAACTGCGGTTATGAAACGTATATGTGCACGATCCTTCGCAGTAAAGCACTATTTAAGCAATAGTGAAAATCAGACCTGAAAAAAATTCAGGCCTGTACGGGATTCGAACCACTGACCTCTGCGATACTAGTGCAGCGCTCTACCAATTGAGCTAACAAGCCAACTGGGAGCAGGCCATCAAATTAATTCGACATAAACCCGTAGATGATAAATCAAACAACAAACATATGAAATACATATATATGAACTGCGGTTATGAAACGTATATGTGCACGATCCTTCGCAGTAAAGCACTATTTAAGCAATAGTGAAAATCAGACCTGAAAAAAATTCAGGCCTGTACGGGATTCGAACCACTGACCTCTGCGATACTAGTGCAGCGCTCTACCAATTGAGCTAACAAGCCAACTGGGAGCAGGCCATCAAATTAATTCGACATAAACCCGTAGATGATAAATCAAACAACAAACATATGAAATACATATATATGAACTGCGGTTATGAAACGTATATGTGCACGATCCTTCGCAGTAAAGCACTATTTAAGCAATAGTGAAAATCAGACCTGAAAAAAATTCAGGCCTGTACGGGATTCGAACCACTGACCTCTGCGATACTAGTGCAGCGCTCTACCAATTGAGCTAACAAGCCAACTGGGAGCAGGCCATCAAATTAATTCGACATAAACCCGTAGATGATAAATCAAACAACAAACATATGAAATACATATATATGAACTGCGGTTATGAAACGTATATGTGCACGATCCTTCGCAGTAAAGCACTATTTAAGCAATAGTGAAAATCAGACCTGAAAAAAATTCAGGCCTGTACGGGATTCGAACCACTGACCTCTGCGATACTAGTGCAGCGCTCTACCAATTGAGCTAACAAGCCAACTGGGAGCAGGCCATCAAATTAATTCGACATAAACCCGTAGATGATAAATCAAACAACAAACATATGAAATACATATATATGAACTGCGGTTATGAAACGTACATGTGCACGATCCTTCGCAGTAAAGCACTATTTAAGCAATAGTGAAAATCAGACCTGAAAAAAATTCAGGCCTGTACGGGATTCGAACCACTGACCTCTGCGATACTAGTGCAGCGCTCTACCAATTGAGCTAACAAGCCATCTGGGAGCAGGCTGTTAAGTTGATTCGTAATAAACCCGTGCTGATAAATCAGATACAATGAATATATGAAGTTCATATATTTTGAACTGCGGCATTAAGCAGGAACTTACTTGTTAACAATGGAATCTCTTATACAGAGCTTTGTAAGGGAATCATCTGCCTCACCCTGCAGAACATAATATTCTTATTAACCATTTAATATCTCCAATACTTTACAAGGTGCATCTGCTTATTAATAAGAAATGATAAATTGATCTTAAAAAAAATCCTGAAAATTAAGCAATTGCAGATAGTTGAGCTTGAAAATGAATTCAGATTTAAGGGGGTTTGAACATACAACTCTTTTTGACTTAGCTACAAGTTGGGCATTACTGCACCCCAAACAACAAATCCACATTTGAAGCCAGGCAAAATTTGTCTCCACTTTACCCATCGTTCAAATTATCTTTTCAAATAATTGAACCTTACATACCATCTGCCTAATGTTTCCACACAAGGCATAAGTTGTAAAACTGCCTGTGAATCGTCCAGTCTCATCAATCTATAACAAACCAAACAACACTACTATACTGCATATAAAATGTAAACTTTTGCGACAAGGGGTCTTAATTCGTGGTTTCAAAATTATCCTTATCCCCTGATCATCTATAAGTTTTTACCATGACTTTGACCCTAGCTGAAATTTGCATTGTGAATTTCAGCATAGTAATTCCTACCACTAACAGTCATTCATCTTAGCGTAACCAGAAATGTTGCAGTGATCTTACGTCGCTTGTGTAGGTGGTGTTTGAAAGGGCAGGGAATGAGGAAAGTTGGTTGCTTTCATTTCTACTTTCACTTGTTTCTCCATCCATCCATTCAAGGAGGTGGTAGAAGTTGTTGCCGTGTCTAATTGTCAAAGACAGTTTTAAAGAGTAAAAGCTTAGAATCGAAGCAGAGTAACATTTGCCTGCCTACCTGTCCAATGTTCAACTGAACTGAAGCATGGTCTTTGGCCACGATAACACGATTGGTGACGGAGCTATATAGGTATAAAATATAATTATGACAAGGGGAATAATAATAATAGTAATATTTAATCTATGCATGTGTACTAAGAGCTCTGTGAGAATAATAATGATTGTATACTAAACAGATCGTTAACGTTGCAAAAGATAACCCACAACTACGTCTATTAATCTTTGATCGAATGTAGCAATAACAGAGGATAAGAAAACGACACTTCTAGAACTAAACTTCATGTCTTCAGTATCCATCAACTCACCATTTTCTTGGAGTGTACATGTCCACGTATTCTCCTGCCTCGTTCTGCATTTTATACGAAAATCTAAATAAAAAAGTAAACACCCTTTCAGTTAACAGATTAATCGAAATCGACAAAGCTAAGAACCATAGAAACTCTGTTTTACCCTGAATACCACGTCTTCTAGATCTTTTATGAAAACAAAGATGGCGGAAAAAAGGCCGAAACGTGCGCAGTCCCGGCATTCATACTGCGCAAAGTTGTCTCCAAGCACACTATGGGCACACGCGGCTGAAATGTACAGGTGAGAGACTAAAAACTAGATACGGTGTAATGAGAAATCTAATTTTAGACAACACGGACATCTCGAAAGATTTGGACAATTTCTTACAATATATGTTGTTTTAACATTTTTAACATGTCAGTTCAACATGTTTAGTGCAAGTACTCTCAGATTAACACGGAAACAGCTGAAGGCAAGAGCTCTTTTCCTAAGGCGGTCCCTTTAACGTTATTTTAATAAACAGCTCCAGTAATGTTCCCATCGTAATTCAGTGTGCAAGAATCCATAGTACATTTTTTTTTTTTTTATGTCGTCATAATTTTAATATCGTCATGATAGAATACGGATGTGGAGTTAATTTGCGATAGGGACAAACTGAGATGTGTGTAACCAGCTATTTTGGGCATGGATATATCAAACCTCTTTATCATTTTGACTTTAATTCGACTAGCTGATACAGATACAAAGACCTTCAATTATTTAATTAAAATTTTGATGAACTATTTTATGTTTTCTTTCTTTGTGTTTGACACATTACGGGGACCAAGCTTGGGATAGAGTAACTGTAATCAAAACCTATGTCCGCAAGTTTGTCTGAGGAAAAGGCCCTTTACTATCTTGTGTTTTGTTCAATTTCTTTTTAAAAGGAGACTTTAAAATACTTAGCTTTCTTAACAAAAGGACAAAGCTTTCAGTGTTTCCGAAAAAAAAGCCATTAATTTTCTTTTGTCGTCACTTGGGATGACTTAAATAACAGACATTTTTTTTGTTTTGAAAGAGAAAACCAACCGTGGCTGTTTGTGTTTTAGGACCGCAGTGAGGTCAGTAAGCTGTGCGCTAATTGGTCAGTCGAAGCTTGAAATAACTTTCTTATCGGGTTATATTGTAGCGTATAATCCACTCGGAGCTATCTTTCATCCACAGCAGTGTGGCAACCACCGCGTGATTGGATTAAGTTTTGCCATGGATTTTTGCACAACGTGTAATCCAGCGTTAACTACTAAATTGAAGTCCATTATCAGTTAAATATAGCTTAATTTCAAGACAACCTTGGATATTTCCACATCACTGAACTTTTATTAGGTTTGGAAAACTGCACGTAACGTAAACAATGGCTCAGTGGACCTCCACCGGCTTCATTCAACGACGCGCGAGTTAATTAGAAGCAGATATGGTAAATACAAACCCTGTAGCCCTTTTTCAAGGAGAAATCTTACGAAAGAAACTGAAGAAAAATACGTGGAAAGAGTACAGAGTGGTCATTCAGGAAGATAAGCTTGTGTTTATGAGCGAGAATGAGAAGAAAATTGCGGGAGTCATAACCTTGACAGAAGATACGACATGTGAGGTGTTGGAGAGAAAAAAATCGTCTCAAGAGAGCGCAGACTGCACGCACGCAAATAAGATTTCTAGACACAAGCGAGGTTTCGATGACAGCCCCTGTAAATTTAAATTGTATGCTAAGAGAGGGGTTCATCTGCTTAAAACAGACTGTAAATCAAGTTGTGATAAGTGGATTGATGCAATTGCTCGTGTTGTTCAGAGTCTGTGGATCAATTCCCCAAATGGCCACTCGTCGATAACAGTTCGAAGACACCGCTTTATGAACTGGCTACAACGAGACTACCGTGTAACAAACAGGAATGGATTTTCGTACAATAATTTATTAGAAGAAGAAATCTTCGAAGAGCATCCGGATGAAAGAAAAAGAAATACTATCACAAAGAATGGAACCCAACCAATACTGATAAATTTTACATCTACAAAAAGAAAATTTGTAATTTGGAGAAATATTTCGGGTCGCGTCGTTTCGAGATACAAAGCCGGAAACTACGGTGTTTTGGTTGAAGACATAACAGACTAATAGTGCTTCTCTACAACTTAATTGAAACGAAAAAATGCAAAAGCCAGTTATAGGCCTCATGTATTACTAATTATGACTTCCGGAGCAAGGTTTCATTTCAGTTGGCCCGCATAACTAAGCTCAAGTTTCTCAGAAAGCAAAACAACTTCATTCTATTTTTATTGTGCCCTTTTATTATGTACTTTTTATAAAATACATTGAATAAACATAATAGCCGCATTATCCAGTATGATTTAAAAGGTTGCTGGAAGTATTATGTTGCTTTGTCAAAAGATTAGCATGCTATTTTGGTGGAAGAGCAATATAGACAAAATTGCATTTTACACTTTTAAACTAGCCATATGTGATGTAAAGTCATTTGAGAAAATTCTTTCTTCCTGGGATGTACGTAATAAATAATTAACTATCGATTTTATTTCAAGTTTTAAAGTCATGTTGCTTTTGCTTATCATTTATAATTTATGAAAATATAATATGAATTACATTAAAACATCCTTTGACTTCTCAAACATCCGTCACAGCAGTCCTTATCTGGATGATTTCGCCACAGTATTGACCATAACTACCGCATCAAAATTCTGATCCCTCTGAGGCTCAAAGAGCGCACGTTAAAAAACGTAATTCAAAGATAGGTCCACAATGCGTAAGCTATCGTGTTCCCAAACTGTGTGGTGAGGAGAAAGTAGCGATGAACAGATGCAAAACTCATGGGGCAAAGGCTCTATAGGTCGTATGGGGACTTCAAGAGTGGTTCTGGGAATTTGGGGATGGAGGAGCTGGGGAGTTTAGACGCACTCATATGGTTTGAGAAGCTCCTTTCTGATACCTCTTCATGACGCACATTCAGATTCACACATACACATTGCAAAATATTTTTATAAAATATAGCCTGCTAAGAGAGACCGCCGTGTAAGCGCTATGTGCACGAAAACAGTTTATGTGGACAAATGAACAAATGAGAAAATCAGCACCGCGCAAACACCATAGTATTCATTTGAAGGCGGAGTAGCGTGCACCTCTGCCTCCCAGCGAGGTGTCAGGAGACAAATGTATGCATTTTTTTTTTATTTTTATTACCTGTGTCATAAGTCTACTTAAAAAAAAAATTGAAAATAAAAAATTCCCTCTCACTCCTTTTTTCCTTTGCAATGCATGTCGGCCTAGGTGTTATCATCTGAGACACAAAACATGTTTTACACACACAATCAAGTCATCATTTCCGCCATATTGGAAATCCATCAGCTGAGAAAGACTTAAGTAAAACAAGATCCTTTTCGTTAAAAAGTGTCAATATGGGAAAGAATCGCAAGACGGGTAGGAAGATGCAGCCAAATTCTTGTTGTGCTTTTGATTTTCATACACTGAATTGTTTCCAAGGACTTGCGATGCATGTTTATGTGGTTTCTTGTGTGTGTTGTTTCTTTTCTCCAACTCAGTAAAAAAGATTCTTACGTGAGATATACTTTTTTAGAATTTTTCTGCTTGTTTATTTTTACTCTGTGGTAGTGAATCCCTGTGCTTCTAGGGCTGAATTAATGATGATGACAGTGTCAGACATTGTGGGTCAATTGATCACAGCGCATGAGAAAGGAAATGATGTTAATCTAAACAAGTTAGTGTCCGATATCTTTTAACGCAGACATTTGTGGTTTTCATCTCATAGCCTTTTTGTTGAGCCTCTTTCACAGCTGTCATTTGGCCTTGTTATGCAACACTGTCTAGTGTTAAATCAAACAACAAACATATGAAATACATATATATGAACTGCGGTTATGAAACGTACATGTGCACGATCCTTCGCAGTAAAGCACTATTTAAGCAATAGTGAAAATCAGACCTGAAAAAAATTCAGGCCTGTACGGGATTCGAACCACTGACCTCTGCGATACTAGTGCAGCGCTCTACCAATTGAGCTAACAAGCCAACTGGGAGCAGGCCATCAAATTAATTCGACATAAACCCGTAGATGATAAATCAAACAACAAACATATGAAATACATATATATGAACTGCGGTTATGAAACGTATATGTGCACGATCCTTCGCAGTAAAGCACTATTTAAGCAATAGTGAAAATCAGACCTGAAAAAAATTCAGGCCTGTACGGGATTCGAACCACTGACCTCTGCGATACTAGTGCAGCGCTCTACCAATTGAGCTAACAAGCCAACTGGGAGCAGGCCATCAAATTAATTCGACATAAACCCGTAGATGATAAATCAAACAACAAACATATGAAATACATATATATGAACTGCGGTTATGAAACGTATATGTGCACGATCCTTCGCAGTAAAGCACTATTTAAGCAATAGTGAAAATCAGACCTGAAAAAAATTCAGGCCTGTACGGGATTCGAACCACTGACCTCTGCGATACTAGTGCAGCGCTCTACCAATTGAGCTAACAAGCCAACTGGGAGCAGGCCATCAAATTAATTCGACATAAACCCGTAGATGATAAATCAAACAACAAACATATGAAATACATATATATGAACTGCGGTTCGAAAGCCTCATGGTTACCCTAATCTCTGGGAAGCAACAATGATTACATAAAGTATGCTTCTTTTAATTTCTCCCTTCCATCGTCTCATTTTTACAACATAGAGACTGTTGCTGCAATCTGAAGTCACGGTCTTAATTGCACC